CATTTTGCAGCACTAGCTGGAAAACGGGTCCAGCGTCCCCTTCTTATAACTTTACTAGCATAGAGCGCCATTGGCTCTGCTCTGATCTAGTCCTAAAGAATCCAGATGCCTCTTCAGTCATTCAGAATGACCGCCAGGACAAAAAAGATAAACCTAGCACCTGTCCCTATAGACTTCCACCTATCTCTTTATACTTGCTAACCACCTTCCTCTCCCCCAAACCATCCTAATTCTACCAACGCCAGCGCAGAAGGAGGAAAAGGGTCAGAAAAAAAAACAGGTGATCTAAAATACTGAATCTTCTATCCAGTGGGCCTAAGGCCAACCTCACCCTCCTCTGGGGTTGGGCACACCCCCAACCGATTGAAATGATTCTGGCGGGAAGTTTTCTTTGCACGGGCATGCCCAGTGTTAAGGAGAGGAGGAGGGGAACGAAGACCTCCTTACTTTTCTTCCTTCTTCTTCTTCTTCCTTCTTCTTCCTCCTTCTTCCTTCTTCTTCTTCCTTCTTCGTTCTTCCTTCTTCCTTCTTCTTCCTTCTTCCTTCTTCCTCTTCTTCTTCTTCTTCTTCCTCTTCTTCTTCTTCTTCCTCTTCGTCTTCTTCTTCTTCTTCTTCTTCCTCTTCTTCTTCCTCTTCTTCCTCTTCTTCTTCCTCTTCCTCCTCTTTTTCTTCCTTCTTCCTCCTCTTCTTCTTCCTTCTTCCTCCTCTTCTTCTTCCTCTTCCTCCTCCTCCTTCTTCCTCTTCCTCCTCCTCCTTCCTCTTCCTCCTCCTTCTTCTTCCTCTTCTTCCTCCTTCCTCTTCCTCTTCTTCCTCCTCCTTCTTCCTCTTCTTCCTCTTCTTCCTCTTCTTCCTCTTCTTCCTCTTCTTCTTCCTCTTCTTCCTCTTCTTCTTCCTCTTCTTCCTCTTCTTCCTCTCGTTCCTTTCTTCTTCCTCTTCTTCTTCCTCCTCTTCTTCCTTTACTTCTTCCTCTTCTTCTTCCTCTTCTGCTTTTCTTCTTCCTCCTCCTTTTTTTTTTTTTTTTTTTTTTTTTTTTAAACATGCCCCTGCCAGTGTTAGTGGTGCTGATAAGAGCAGACACCACTAGCACCTGGGGAAAAGCTCCATCTACTGGTGGGGAGCATCACCTGCTGGAAAACGGGTCCAGCGTCCCATGTACAGACTAACTTCTTCCTCCTCTTCTCCCTCTTCTTCCTCTTCTTCTTCTTCCTCTTCTTCTTCCTCCTCCTCCTCTTCTTCCTCTTCTTCTTCCTCCTCCTCCTCCTTCTCCTCCCCCTCCTCCTCCTCCTCCTCCTCCTCCTCCTCCTCCTCCTCCTCGTCCAGCTCGTCCTCCTCCTCGTCGTCGTCCTCCTCGTCGTCGTCCTCCTCCTCGTCGTCGTCCTCCTCCTCCTCCTCCTCCTCTTCTTCCGAGTCTTCTTCTTCCGAGTCTTCTTCTTCTTCTTCTTCTTCTTCTTTCGAGGTTGAACGTAAGCCATGGCCTCATCACAGAAGCCTTGCCTTGGCCTCCAATAACCGAACGTGCACCACAAAAATCCTACTGCTTTAGCACGCATGTCCTTCCCTGCCCTGTGGTAACCAAATTCCGACCAATTGTAGTGACTTCTATTTTTTGTTTGCCTAGTAACAAACTGTAGGACTCAGTTAAAAACAATGATGGGTTGGCAACAAACTACTTTTAGTTTATTTTTTTTGAAGGGCTAACTGATTGGCTACGAAAGAAGGAGGAAGGGTTCTAGCCTGAGGACTCAGCCATCTCGCAGAGATTCGAACCAGTCAGAAATGAAACTGAGTAACAAATGCACCTACCGGTATCATGGCCTGCACCATTTCCCACTCCTTCAGAGTCAGTTCCTACAAGCACAAAGGCAAGCGGGAGGGATCAGAGAGGCAGGGGAGGAGGGCTAAGGAACGAGGTGTGCGGAACAGACTCACGCACAGAGACACAGAGAGAGAGAGAGAGAGAGAGAGAGAGAGAGAGAGAGAGAGAGAGAGAGAGAGAGAGAGAGAGAGAGAGAGAGAGAGAGAAATGGGATAAAAACTATTAAAACGACCAGGTTATATGTGCACATGTACAGGCATGGGGGAAAGAGAGAATGTGTGTGTGTGTGTGTGTGTGTGTGTGTGTGTGTGTGTGTGTGTGTGTGTGTGTGTGTGTGTGTGTGTGTGTGTGTGTGTGATGTTTGTGTGTACTAATTAACCCCAGTTATCAGCTCCATACCAGATTGTACGTGTACAAACCATAGGATGAGGAAAGCATGGAAGTACAGTGGAAGATACATCCCCATAGGGTCAGGACACATGCACTCTTTCATAGATTGTCAAAGCCCATAAGACCATTCACATGGAACGACAGACCTGAATCTGATAGCATGGAAATAAATCAGGGGCTGCTTCAGGCATGTATAACCAACAGAGGTAAACACAATGTTTCACATGGGAACCCTTACACCACAAACAAGTCAATCACATAGTAACTGTGAGCCATACGTACAGGATCCCCAAAAACGCTTGTTCATGCCTACATGAACCCGACAATCAATCTCATCCCCCTGTCCACAATCATTTTCTCCGTTGTCATAATTATCGTATGCCCAGTTGTACCAAACTTGCTTTCCTCTCTTCTCTCCTGTCACCACTCACATAGGTCATCCACATAGCCTCATCCCCCTTACAATCGTCAATACCAAAGGTCACACATCACATTGAACTAAGTACCCTCACCAACTAATGACCCAAAAAGACGAAGAATAAAACCATCTCTCCCTGCTCCTCCGATCGTACATCCAATCATCACTATACCCTCCACTACTCCATAGCGAAGCAACCACTCCACCTCCCCTCCCTTTCCTCCTCCCGACACCGCACTTCATCCGGACTGAGTCGCATCCCTAAATCATACTGAAAAAACATTGCCGCTCAGCTCATTGCACCATGACGTGCGTCCCCACTCCTCTCCGGGTGCTCCATGCGACGCAGAAGCTCCTAAGCACAATCCGATCACCAAAGTACCCGTCCCACAGATCACACCCAACAATACACGTTGTACAAAGCAAACGTAAGATACATGCAACCTGAATCAAGTTTCTTAAATAAACTCACAGGGGCTGTGTGTGTGAACCAAAAAACCACCTCCGTAGGGCTTCATACCATATTACCACACAAAGGGTAAGGCAATGAAGACCGGAGAGCGGGATTGATCGGCTGGGGATTAGTGGCCAAGTCCCTAAAGCCAGCTTTTCGCTGTCTGCCACTTGATACAGCTCATCAGAGGGGAAGCTCAATAAGCACGCCAATCCGGATTCGCATATGTGGTTTAGTATAACACCATGTTTTAGGATGGGAACAATAGGTCAAAAACGAGAAAACAGGGTGAAAAAAACTCCACGATTTATGACTTACCGCACCGTTATCCCCATCGGGGAGGAACCCTTCAGCGTGCAGCATCTCATCCATCGACGGAACATAGTCCCCCATAGTGGCCATGGCAGAGCTACCCACAGCACAACACGCTCCGCACAACGTTCTCCAAGACAGTCGCGTACACCAGGCCTAATCAGGTCGCTTTGAGGCAGCAAATTATAACGGACAAAGCGAACGCTTCGTCACGAAATCATCAGCTACTTCGATTGAAGAGGGTGAACTCTTCCGCTTCAGTCGGTTAAGTAGTCCTTCTCGCTAAGGTTTATGGTTTTCGCCACTGTATTTTTCACGGTACCGGCAAGCGGTTCCTTGTTCCCGCCGTTCTATTTCTGCAGGCCCCCAATTGTTCTCAAACTATTTCGTGGCCTACTCTACTAGAGGCCTTGCACACGATTCACTGCTTCACCGAGGCTCAAACCACTTTGTATACCGGTTCAGAGAGGGAATGTCCTCCATTCCGGGGTCTGTATGTGACACTCACTGTCGACCTGGAAAAACATTATGACTGGGGTCTCGGGGGGTAATACACCCTCAATATCAAAAGCGAAAAGGTTAGGAAATAGCACCAGGTCAGAAAAAAAGGGGGGGGCAGAAAACAAGTAGAAAGGGGGCCGGGAATAAGTGAAACCAAGGGACAGAGGTCAAAAAAATCTTTCCTCTTGAATGTGTGTGTGTGTGTGTGTGTGTGTGTGTGTGTGTGAAGTAATATTACAAAGCAACCCGATACACGGGAACCTCGTGATTGATTCACTCACGTGATGCTCAACCGCGTTCCCTCGTTCGTCGGTCTGTCCCATGCCACATACCATCAATACTCACGGACAAGTCCAAAGGCCAATAGAAGAGAAGATGGAGGAGAAGAGTTGAAGCGCGGGGAGCAACGATGGCATAACCATCAAGGTTGGTGTAGTGACCAATAGAGGAGGGATGACACATCCCTTCACACACTTTTTAGCGCTTGCTCCCGTCAAGGCTCATTAGAAGGTGAGGTGTCCTCGTGCGCCCAGCTAAGATGCCCATGGAATATCACGATGCAAAGGCCAAAACACGGTGATGTAAATGACGGCGAGGTAACAAAGCACTGAACAACAAGAGGTTGCAAGTCACAAAGGGTGGAGGACATGGGGGAGGAGGGTGGGCAGGCAACCAACACAAAGCAACAACTTGAAGTGAAAAGGGCACAAGGTAGCGATACCAAGTTTGGAAAAAAGGAGAGCGAAAAAAATAAACAAACACAGATGATAACAGACTGTTTCATCGGAGTTGCACCGACTCATCAGGAGGCTGAACCCTCGACAATCTGCGGAGTTTTCGTATTGGATGGTTGGGGTCATGAACCCTTTGACCCTTGGCAGCAACCCTGCGGAGCACCAGGCAACGCAGTAGAGGCAACACGGTTGCACATCGCCAAAAATGACTGCAAGGAACGACACGGCGCGCAGGACAAGCACTGCGTCAACCACGCTGTGAAGCAAGGCAACCACACAGCAGGGGACAACAATGCTAGCGGTGGAGTAGCACAGTTACCATGCAGTGGAGTACAAGGCAGTACCTACAAGGCAAGTGAACTACAAGGTGCACAAGCAAAGGACATGGAAGGCACGACCAGCGGATGAGCGGCAAGGCAGCAGAGCAGCGAAGCGCAAAGGCAACACCAACAACACAGCCACACCACACAGCGAACGCATCAACCTGCAAAGAACCACATGCAAAGCAAGCAGGACAGGCAACAAGGCAGCGGCAGAGTGCAGACGAGGCAGTCCACACATCCAACACGGAGCAAAGCAGCACATGACCTACTCACATCACGATTGAACCCCGCAGACTGTTGGTTCCCACCACCCACT